AAAGTCAAAGGACGACTGGGTTTGTCCGGCCAACAATCCAAACCCGGTGGCTCCTAACAAGGGTTACGACACGCTGGCGGGAGCCCTGCTGAGTTTGAGGGAGGGCGGCCACACGGTTAGCGCGACTCCTTGAAAAACAAGGACGGTTTTTGAAAAACAAGGAAAGATGGAACACTTCAAGGAAGTTCCTTGGAAGTGTGCTCCCATTCCAAGGAGGCTCCCTTGTTTTCCAAGGCCAGTCCCTTGTTTTCTTGGACTCCAGACAAATTCCAAGGACCCGCCTTGTTTTTGGGGTGCACTTCCAAGGGGACGCCTTGGTTGGTCTCTGCCGATTCAAGGAACCGCCTTGTTTGTCCGCAAAAGCTCAAGTTACGTCGTCGGCCACGTCATGGGGTCCCCGATGACGTCCCCCTGGGGTTCACCATGACGACCCCCATGTTTCTCCGTGCCGTTGAGGCTGCCGGGTCTCACAGTGGCCAACGCCGAAAACCGTTTTCTTCTACGTCCAGTACTTTCGGAGATACGAGGACGTACCACGAGGCCGCCGTCCAGGCGGAGGAGGAAGTGGTGATTTTTTCGAGGCCAAAGTAGCTCTGGCCACGAGCCTACTTGGTGTCCGGGACTTTCGACTTCGGAATTGGGTTAGGGGGTGCCGGCCCACCTCAAAACCAAATTTGGTCAAGTTCCGGCCAGCCGTTTGTCCAGGATGGCGACAAACATCATCCAATCAGCAAAATAAGTCCACAAATCGAGCTGTTTGACGCCATCCTGGACAAACGGCTGGCCGCAACTTGACCAAATTTTGTTTCGAGGTGGGCCGGCACCCCCCTAACCCGATTCCGAAGTCAAAAGTCCCGGACACCAAGTAGGCTCGTGGCCAGAGCTACTTTGGCCTCGAAAAAATCACCACTTCCTCCTCCGCCTGGACGGCGGCCTCGTGGTACGTCCTCGTATCTCCGAAAGTACCGGACGTAGAAGAAAACGGTTTTCGGCGTTGGCCACTGTGAGACCCGGCAGCCTCAACGGCACGGAGAAACATGGGGGTCGTCATGGTGAACCCCAGGGGGACGTCATCGGGGACCCCATGACGTGGCCGACGACGTAACTTGAGCTTTTGCGGACAAACAAGGCGGTTCCTTGAATCGGCAGAGACCAACCAAGGCGTCCCCTTGGAAGTGCACCCCAAAAACAAGGCGGGTCCTTGGAATTTGTCTGGAGTCCAAGAAAACAAGGGACTGGCCTTGGAAAACAAGGGAGCCTCCTTGGAATGGGAGCACACTTCCAAGGAACTTCCTTGAAGTGTTCCATCTTTCCTTGTTTTTCAAAAACCGTCCTTGTTTTTCAAGGAGTCGCGCTAACCGTGCATGGCGGGCACAAGCTATCCCGCAATGTAACCGTGAACTCTTTGGATGAGGGTTTAGGCTTTCTGACCACTCTACTCAAGCACCGAGCCGTCTTCCATAGGACCTGCGTAGCACGGGACCCCGCCCGACCAAGCTTTTGGCCAGCCTGGATGCGGCGGCGGCGGGGAGCTAGGCACAAGGGAGGCACTCTTAAAACCTTACGAAGTATTTTGAGCATACGTATAACAAACCAAAATACTTTGTTTTACGAAGAAATAGTTCGTAAATTACGAAGTATTTTCTTTGTAAGCTTACGTATGCTCAAAATACTTTGTTATACAAACTACTTTTCTTTGTAAGGCCCAAAATAGTTTGTAAGGTTTTCTCAGTGGGGACTTCCCCGTGGCAGAAGTTCCGGCACGTCTCCAGCACCGCGACCATCAAACCGTGAGCCTGCAACACGTGTGAAACGAGCAACACGTTCGAAAGAACCATCTATCTATTCAGGTGAAGCAAGCTATATGCTTATTGTGCGGCGGCGTGGAGTCTCGAAAAAAGGCGCTGTGCAACAGAATTCTTTTTCAGAATGTGATGCAATGTGCAAGGGTTTTCAATGACACAAAATTATTGGCTCTTGTTGCAACTGAGGGTGACCTTGTGGCCATGAGACTATCACTGTAATGGACTGGACACTATAGCGCCAGAAACGCTGTACTGCAATCCCAGTGGTAAGTTTACTTTCCACGGATTTGGCAAGCCGTTTTGAATGCCAAAAATTGGCAAGCTTCGCCCGGAAATACTCCCCAGGTTGCCAAAATTTGGCAAGCTTATGAAGAGTGCCGACCAAAAGCTTGCCAAATTTTGGCATTTAAAACGGCTTGCCAAATTTGTGGCAAGCAAACTTACCGCTGGCTTTGCAGTGTGCACGCGGGTCTTTTCGACGATGCTCCTCCGC